GAGGACTTTGTGGACTGGTGTTGGGTTAATGGGTTAATGTTGGACTTGTGGGCTTGGGAAGTATTGGGTTGGGATGTTTTCTTGATGCACACTTTTCTTTACATAAAACTCTCTTATACATGAGTTGGTGTGGATTTGTTTCTCTAAAGTACCTAGACTAATACACCAGCATTATTTAAAAGAGCCAGAGAAGAAATTTCTATCATGGAACAAGCGAGAAATATTTCAGTCAAGAGCAAATTCAGGTTGGATCAAGAGAGGTCAATTGACACAGTATCATATTATACCAGCGTTCCATCCACCATAATCAAGTTTATAATAAATAATCTGTGTCTGATCGCAAAGCTGTTCGGGTTCCTTGCCTGTGGCTAGATAAGATCAGCCAGAGGCTTAATCTGACTACATACTCTGCAAGTGGATTTTGGGATCCTGTTATTTGTCATAGCTTTTGACTAATTAGGTTTTCACAATTTCAGCTCTGATACTTTACCCTTCATTACAATTTGGACTGTGTTATTGTCATCTTTGGAGCACATAGGCTGATGTGCTTCTTCCATGTGGACTTAGTTGACACCTCACTTAGATGACTGCTTGTTTGAATACAAGTCTTTAAGACCCCTGACATTATTCCAGCTGATAGCTGGGCACCATCTACTTTCTTCACCACACTTTGCAGTAGCAGCCTTATTTTTGGTGATCTCTAAATGCAGGTATTCAGCAGGTATTTGCCTTTTCTGTATTAGCTGTTTGGGCATTTGGGATTCATCAGTAAACAAACAAAAAATTTATACACTGATGGAACATTACTCATATATGCCAGGTTTTTTCAATTGTTACTAGGTTTCAGTTCATGCATACACAGTTCATATCAAGCAAAATGCCTATACCAAGTTGGCACATAACCTTACCTATCACAGCCAATCAGTTGATGGCTGCTGACAAGTTCTGTCAGTAATAAACTTGCCCTAATCTGGTCAAGGTGCCTTCAAAATAAATCCATCCAAAACACGGCCTTTAATTGAGAGGTCAGCTCAAAAGGTTATGGAGTATTTGGGGGATTCCAAAGGAATAATAGTGAGTCTCTCAGAGATGCCAAAAGAGCGGTTTTGATGATGTGGTAGTTGAAAAGCACAGAATTCTTCAGAGAAGACTTAGAGAAATGGAAACATTACCATTATCACTATGTAGACGTAGATGGAAGATATGTCGAGAGAAAATAATAACCTCACAAGTTGATATTTTAGCTTAATTAAAAGTTTCTCTAATTAAAAAAAAATTTACCTTTATAGTCTTAAGAGGGAAGAATGTAAATGTAATAGATGCATAGACATATACATTTGGTTAATTAACAAATGTAGAAAAAATACAGGGAAGGATAAGTTGCTTGGGAGTATGGAATGCAGTATTTTTAAAAGAGTGAGCAAGATAGGTTCAATATGAAGGTGACATTGAGTCAAGATATGGCGGTGGTAAGAATTAATTGAAGAGTCTTGGTGGCATAGTGGGTTACGTGTTGGGCTGCTAAGCTACAAGGGTAGCAGTTTGAAACCAGAAACTGTGAGAGAAATACAGGCTTTCTACTCCCATAAAGATTACAGTCTTGGGAATCCACAGGGACAGTTCTGCCAGCCTTAAAGGATCTCGATGAATTAGAATCGACTGATGGCAGTAAGTTTTGTTTTAAGAGTTAACCTTGTAAGTGTCTTTTTTTGGCCCCCTGACCACACTTAAAGACCAAAATTCTTTTCTGTACTCAGTATTCCTTTTTCATTGTCAACACTTTATGAATGCCATTTAAAGAAGCGCTGTTCATTTTCCAGGTGTCTACCCAAAGTTTGAGAAATTTAGCCAGCTGGCTAGTGCAACAAGCTCTATTTTCTAAATTATTGGATTTAGGAATTTTCAGGATTATGCTCAGTGTAGCCTGTTGTGTGTGTGTTTTATCTTTTTTAATAATAAGCCTCACTAGAAATATTTGAGCTATTATTATTTATCTCTAGGTAATGTTAATTGAATAGAGTTATTTGGCTTTTCTAGGCATAACTCTCCAGCCATTAAATAAAAGTCGATACTTTTAAAAGCCCCTTTCAGGTTTACAGGAGCTCTTTTGGTTAGGTGTTAGATTGTTAACTGTAAGGTTGGTGGTTCAAGCTTATCAGCTGTTCCTTGGGAGAAAACTGAGGCTGTTTATTTCTCACTTTTTAATGTATTTAATATATTGTCTCAGAAACCTTATATCAGGTTGCTTTGAGTTGTTGGTTTGTGAATTATATGTGAGTTCATATTGTGGAGGGATTATATGTGAAAAATAAAGAATTTCATATATATAATCTATGTAAAGGACAATGTTTCATTACTTTCATTCTTAGACATCTTCTGAAGAACATAGAAAGCGTATGTATTTGTGAATAAAACTTAATTCTGTCTTAACAGTTACTATATGGGATTCTTTCATAAATCTAAAATGCATTGTTACCTTAATTTTATTTTAATGCCTAGAAATATTTTCATCCACAGAAGCATTTCATCATTAAACACCCCCCAAAATAAATAAAAAAGCTAAATCAGTTGCCTTCAAGTTGATTTCACACTGTTGGTTGACTCCATGTGTTTCAGAGTAGGGTTGTTGGCTAAGAGGTTTCATGGCTGTGACCTTATGG